AATTTTGTTTCATGGGTCAAAAATTTATTTGTTTGGCATTGGATAGGGAATATTTAGCAAGTTGATCTTATTTGACAAATTAATGCACCTAAGATTTGAACATAAACAATAATGTTTATTGAATTATTAGAAAGAAAAATGTACTTTAGAAATTAGAATTGCCAAAAAGCAACTAATATATCATACGAGATTATGGAAATTATAACCTAAATCATTGAAGCAATTATGTTGTGTGGTAAAATCAAGTGCGATATTGTTCTTTTACCGTAGATACTACATTATATTACTTCTAAATTTCTTATACTGCTTATGCTAATAAGACCATAAATGAATCACAAAGGCAGGACATCAAATAAGATATTAAAAAATTTGGAACTTTTGAATTGCAGACGTGGGTACAGGACAACGTCTGTCGGGTCTTCTAGTATATATATATATATATATATATATATATTTATATATATATATATATATATATATATATATATATATTAAATGTGTTTTGATATAAATTGCATAATTCCTAATAATAGTTCTTTCTCCGCGTCACATGGAGTTTTAATTTTATTGGCGTCGTTAATGTGTGACAATAGCTGTCACAAATATGTATCTGACTTTTATTGAACATAAACAATATAGTATTGTTTTATTATATATATATATATATATATATATATATATATATATATTTATATACACATATATTTGTTCAATACTATTTTATTGCCATATTGTTTATAAAGTGACCGCACATAATGCTTTGGCTAAAAACGTAATTCGACTCTTTGACACGTGCCGAGATTTCGAATAATTAGAAAAATTATTTTAAACGCACCATTTGCTTTATATAATATTGTAATTTGTGAATATCATACCTCAAAGTGTATATTATATTCAAAAATACTAAAATTAATAGATTATCTAACCAGATTTATAACTTTTGTTAAAAGAGATTTTTTTTTAAATGTGGTATAGATGATTAGATGAAAACATCAATTTAATGGTTGATGACATTTTTAATGAGCTCTACAGGAAGTATTCTTTGTACTAGTATCTTGCAAATTTAGTATGTTATTCTGAAGTATATTATGGTGATAAACACTAAGATTGATAGATTTTCCCACTAAAATTCAACTTATATTAAATGTTCTCAAACTAAGTCTGGACAAACATTATGTACTCTTATGGTTAGAGACAAAACCATAGAGCATATTCTCAATTATTTCTACAAAAGTTTACACTACAATCTTATCATTCGAGATTTTAAAAAAATCTATCACAACCACAAATACTAAGTTGATAGATTTTCTAACAAAATTCTAATATATGAGAGATTATATCAAAGTGTTCCAAATATATAATTCTACTAATCTAGTGTTGGATTTTAATGAGCTTTACAGGATCCACCATTTGTACTACCAACTTGTAAATTGAGTATGTAATATCACGAATGGTAAATATTAAAATCGATTCATTTTCTAGAAAACTTTTGAGTTATTTAGGCTTTTATTAAACTCAACTAGCATCTCCCAATATGGTTCTGGTAATTAGTGGTATTTATTTAAGATTCATAGGACTTGCTTTTTACACAACGAGCGTGCCATTCGAACCTTTCCATTTTTTAATTACAAGTTAGAATCTTTTTTGAAAATTTATACCAAATGCATCGTGGTAAGGCAAACTTATGATTTAATCATAAGTTACCCCAAAGTATGAAATGGAAATGGGAAGAACTCTTACACTACTTCTTCCTTGAATCGAACTGGAGTTTAACTCAGCTCGAGACTTGCCTTAGGGCAATTCTACCCATCAATATACCTCAAAGTAACTTTTCTAACATCAACTACTATAAGTTTTTTAAGAAAATTTTGAGTTATGTTGAATTTAATCCAACTCGTCCCTTGACTGGCAAACTAAAATATATGATGACAGAAAAACATTTAAATATTTTTGCAGGGCACAGTTTAAACTACATATTAGTAATTTAGTACTTGCTAGGTAAATTATAATAGCCAAATGTCTGATAAGATAAGTTAAAATATTGGTCTAAATTCTATAAAAAAAATATAAATTGAACTTGAAGAAATACGCATATTTTTTAGTATTAGAGGCTTTGAAGCGCCAAGAACAATATTTTAATTTTAATTAAATTATTAAACTCATTATTAAATAATAAAATACTTATATGCCTCAATAAATCTAATAAAATTCTATTCTTCTAAAGCTATTAGAAAGTACTATATTAACAATTACTAATAAAACCAATTTTGAAATGTTTAAAAAATCTCTAAATAAATCGGTGATTAAATAGTCACAAAACAAGCATATAAAGATATATTTAAAAATATTTGCATTTTTTCTTGAATAATTTTGTAATAAATTATTGTAAACATTTCAATACAAGTTAATGTAATTTATGAAAAATTACATAATTGCAACATGTATTTAATTTTAAAATGCAAGACTTCCTTTTCAATTATATTATTTTAAAATTATAATTAAAGAAATACGCATATATATATATATATATATATATTTATATATATATATATATATATATATATCTTCTATATATATAAAAATAAGTCGGGTTTTCCTTCCTGACGAAATAACTCCAGAACGCACGAACCGATTTCGACAATTTTGCATTCATTGGAAAGGTCTTGGGCTCCGCAAGGTTTATAGCTAAGAAAATTAGAGGTGCATGGCATCGTGCCCTAATGCATATTGCTGGAACTTCACGCACCGCAATTAAAAATTCGAGTAATAAAAATAATCAATAATTGTTTAAAATAATTGCAAATACATTATCTTCTATATATATATAAAAATAAGTCGGGTTTTCCTTCCTGACGAAATAACTCCAGAACACACGAACCGATTTCGTCAATTTTGCATTCGTTGGAAAGGTCTAATGCATATTGCTGGAACTTCACGCACCGCAATTAAAAATTCGAGTAATAAAAATAATCAATAATTGTTTTAAATAATTGCAAATAGATTATCTTCTATATATATAAATATAAGTCGGGTTTTCCTTCCTGACAAAATAACTCCAGAACGCACAAACCGACAATTTTGCATTCGTTGGAAAGGTCTCGGGCTCCGCAAGGTTTATAGCTAAGAAAATTAGTGGTGCATGGCATCGTACCCTAATGCAAATTGCTGGAACTTCACGCACCGTAATTAAAAATTCGAGTATTAAAAATAATCAATAATTGTTTTAAATAATTGCAAATAGATTATCTTCTATATATATAAAAATAAGCCGGGTTTTCTTTCCTTATCAAATTTTTCCTTTTCAAATATAAAACAAACAAAAAATTTCTTCATCTTTCTCACGAAACCATCTGGTGGCGAAACGGAGTTTGTCGGGTTTGCTAGTATATATATAATTACGTTTATAGATAAAGTTATTTTTCAATAATAAAAATAATTTCACTAACCTTGTATAAAAAATAAAATAAACGTCAACAACAATCACAATTCGAAAACATTCTTTACACTTTTTAAACAAAAAACACACAAAACACTTTTGACTAAACTAAAACAAGTCCACAGAATTTATTAATATTAATAATAACTATTTGTTTATTATTTTATCGTTATTTCTTATCCTTTTTCCTTCACAAAGGATAACAGACATCCTTTCGCTTCGAAAGCAAAACGCTTACTGACCGACTCCAATTCCCTAGATATCGACGATGGTATCCAATTGGATGTAGACAGAGATGGAGCAATACGGCACGGTGTGCGAAGGAAAGAGACATATTGACAGTTTTGGTAAAATTTAAAGGATTTCAATAGAAATTCGGTTTAATATAAAAAGATTTTATGCATGTTATTTGGTACTGAATTAGTACTTATTAAATTATAAGTACAAAATTTAAAAGAGATGTAATAGATAAAATTGAAATTGGACTGTTAAAATTGGTGCATATACTCAAGTGCAACCTGGTTAGAGGTTTCAAGTTCAATGGCGATTTTAAAGTACACCGAGTTGCTCTAGTTATAAATGATGTTAGACAAAATGAGACAGTATTCAATTTCACACAAATTTCCCAAATACATCATTTATACAAATTGAATGGTTCAAGAGATATTTGGTAATTATTACTCGGGTATATAATCCTAGTAGGGTGTTTGCATCGTATCGGAACACAATAGTATTAGATTTTGATCCGTAATCCGTTTTCAATGAAATTTAACACAGACACATATACAGATAATATCGATTCATTAAGTGCTAATCCCATACGAAACACTAATAAATATTCATATGTACTTAAAACAAACGCATAAACACACACATACACACACAAAGACAGGTGCAGTAAAAGGAAACACTCAACTCGATTGCTGAACATTATTGCTATTATAAATTTTAAACTGTTAGATTGAAATAAATAGAAAAATTGACAAATTGGTACAAAAGTGAATTATTTACAAGATGATCTAATATTATAGAGCCCTAGAGCACCACGGTGTACTTTAAAATCATTATTAAAGCCGGATAATGAACACGAGTGCGAACACGTGAAGTAATTAGAAACTATCAATAATCGATTAAAATAAAATTTTTTTCGAAAAATTTATACTAATTTCAGCAATCTACAATACCTCCAAAGCAACTGAGTATACTTAAAAATCTCAATTGAAAATAAGAAGTGTAGGGAAAATTGTGCTTTTATTATTGCATCTCTTATAACTTCTAAATAATTTGATAGAGTGATGAATTAAGTTAAATTATATATAATATTGTCTAAAATCATAACGTCCTACATCAGCACGTTATACGTCAAAATATTTGAAAATAAAGTAGTTTGTGCCTGTACCAAGTATAGAGACTTAAAAAGCTCAAAAATATTATCAATTTACGCCCTTAAACCATTTTACTAATTTCAACAAAATATTTGGCAAACTTGTACAAAAATATTAAATTTTGTATACATTACGCTACAAATTCAATTACCAAATACAAGTTTTTAATATTTTGCTTATTATTCAACTAAAAATACAAACAAAGTATACAAAAATGACCAATATTCTACCCATTTCGCAAAGCCGACTTCCTCGATTGAGAGCTGATCTCGTCTGATGGAATTTCTGGACGGAACCTTTGTAGACCTTCTCCACCGTCTCATCCAGCCAAGGACGATAGGGCAAGATTTTCGTATAAATCTCAGGATCAGGATACGGACCGCATCCTGAACCTCTTCTATGCATCAAACCTAACAAATAGAAATAAAGCATAAAAATTCAATACGCAATATTGCACATTATTCAATTGAAATAAATTAAAGTAAGATATAACTAGGAACTTTATGGTGTTAGAATGTACTACACAGTATTTAATTTTGTAGAAAATTCTTTAACACATTATTCGTAGCAATCAATAGTTTAAAAGTTACAAGACACGCTATAAATTATACAATATACTCTCTAACTTTCATTTGATACTTAAACTATATTTTATTTTTATTTTTATTACTATTTTACCATGAAGTCTGAACCTGTCTCTGGGTCCACAAAGTAGTAAGCTCCCTCCATCCGTGCTGCAGGAAGCTTCCACCAGCATGGGATCCCTGGTACAGATGTGAAAATTCTCATCCAAAGCCAAGTCCAGATTTTTGTGCATGGCTTCGCAAACCGACAAATTCAACTAGAATAATGAAAAAATAAGAATGTGTTTTGTAAAAATTTTGGAAATTTTTGGTCAAAACTGTGTTAGTAACCATATTTGTTTCTTTACTGATCTCTATAGCACAATACAATAAACACCAAAAAAATATAATAAGTGCGTTTCCCTTACCAGCGGTACAATTCTATGCCGTAGAGGTCTCGAATCTGAGATCCCTTCTGACCCCCAGTCGACCAGAATACATGTAGGGTACATCTCCCATATAGGATCTGGTCCTTCACAGAGATACGAAGGCAGCATGGCCGCACTCGCCATTCTCGTGCCCAAATCGAAGGGCCTTCGCAGTTTTATCAAACCTATGTTGTGCATTTCGGACTTTCGTGTAAAATCTGAATATTAAAATTAAAATGTTAATAATAATTATTTAATTTTATGCATCTTATTAATAATATAATTTATTCATAGTTACATCGCGTCAAACCATTTTCAATAAAAAAATGATTCCAAAACTCTTTCAATTCAAACTAATATATCTTGTACTTGTTTAATCAATCTTCTAAAGTAAATGAAATATTTAATGAATTTTTACAAACAAAATGCAACATATTTTTAGACATAATTTAATTCTATTTACATATGTACGTTGTACAATATTCATTACCGTTAGATCAATTGCAAACTCACCAGGATGAATAATGAATAGTTCGATTCGGCGCTCTTGAGTGTTTCCTGGATTATCTTTTGCCACAGTATCTATAAAATATTATATATATACACAATTATTAATATAATTTTAGTATGCGATACCTTAAAGTGTTACATCGACAAATAGTTAAATCCATGGGTTTTCGAAAATTTAGAAACTGAGTTGAAAAAAATTCATGCGATTTCATATGGAAGGGTGAATGCAACATATGTAGGCTTTGAGACAACGTTTAAGGTGTCAATATACAGTATTTACAGACTTACAGCTATGTATCTCGAATTCCGAGATTTTTCCTAATTTAAGCTTAAATGACTGGACTATTAATGAATTCTATGTCAATTATTTAGAAGCTTTAGGCCGATTATAATCGAAACTAAATTCTGCATTTACTCACTGTCGCCAGCCCCTACATAATATCGATAAATGCTCAAAAGTTCCACGGAATTAGACCACTTTTCTATTAAACATTCTGCAGTCGTCAGAACAAAAAATGCGCTGGCAATCGCTCCCCCGCATATAAATTCGTTATCCTTATCTGCAATTAAAAAAGCGACGAAAGGATACGTAGTTTCGTCCAGGACGATGGAACCTGGAAATAAAAAACCAATAGCATTATCCTTTATGTAGATACCTGGTCAGAAATATGTATTGTAATACATAAAAAGAATCTATATATTCAAGATGCAATGGAATTAAACAAAAAATACAATTTACCTTCGGAATTTTGTGAAGGATCTATACCATTCATTATCTGTCCACGAATTTCTTTTAAATCTACACAAATTAGTAAAATTCCTACCCAAATCGATTTGCATAACATTTCTTGATAAATAAATTCAAAAAATACATTTGACAGAAAATTCAAATACAAATGTCACAAACTTTACACATTATAATTTTTGACAAATGAGATAAAACAGATAAAACTAATTTTCAATTGTATATGTATGTGAATTTTATGTTCTGAAGGTATATAAAATTGTTGATAAAACTATTTTTTACAATTCTACTCAAATCTATTAATTAATTGATAAACACATTTCTTTCTAAATATTGAATGCCGTGAAGTTCAGATACAATATTGTTTGACATATAAAAAACTAAATTTCAAATTTACAAATAGTTTTTTTTATATCCAGTCATTAGATAAAATTTTATAATGGCCAGTCACAATTTATCTTACCATTACTAAATTAATAATTATAGATCATAATATTAAATTAATAATTAGTAAAATATATTCTACGGACTTGTGGGGAGATCTGTTAAATAATAATAAAATTGTTTTTTGATAAAATTATCAACGATTTCTCTACAAATAAATAATCTAAAAAATTATTTATATATAAATATCACCAATGTCAAAATTACTGAACTTAATTTTTGAACGGAATAATGTATTTTATGTTTATTTTCCTTATATGCATAAAACACTGTTTAACAATTTAAAATTAACGACAATTTCTATCAAAATCGATTTATACAAATACATAAATAAAACTTAATTCTCATGTGTCAAATATGTAGAAGGTTGTTAAAATATTTTTAAACTTGTTACAAATTCTTCATACATATGGCCTACGGGTTGATCACAGATAATGTAATAAACAAGGTATGCTTCTTTAAAATTGAATTATCAAATAATATATATTTATACATCTATTCATTTATAATTATAATTTTCAAGCAAATACCAAACTTTTCGATAATTTATATTATAAAATATTTATGAAGAATTTGTGACAGGAAAGAAAGAAAGCCAAAAAAATAAACAGAAACAATATAGTATGTATTACAAATAAATATATTAATTCTATTATATAAATAATAGATATAAATTTATATTATATTTGAATTGACTCCAAATATATTTTTATATCACTTTTATTTTGATAGTAAAATTTGAGATAAATGCTTGTTTGTTTTTAATTTTAAAATGTTATCATAATATATATATATATATATATATATATATATATATTTAAATTCGACAATGATTTTAAAATTGTTGTTTTGTAATATAAATGTAATTTTATATATAAGTAATAATTTTTTTAGAATTCTTTCAATTACAAATTTTATTACAAAAACATATAGATCTCAATATTCGTTGCTGCGAATAGTTACTTTGAGGTATCACATTATCACATAAATAAACGTAAAATTTTGTTTAAAAGACTATGAATTTTAATATTTTTAAAAACAAAATACAGTTTGCAGCACTTTATAATATTATTAATTTATGTAATAAAAATTGTGTTATAATAATTTTAACAAAACTTTTGTAACTATTAATAATTTTAATTTATCTGAAACTTTTACATGTTTTTATATTCTGTTAAATTATATTTTAATTTGATTATAAACTTAGATTAATGTATGCAATAGTTTGTACATCATTTTATCATAAATTAATGTATATATAAGTTAATGTATTTAGTAGCCTATACATTAATATTTATTAACAAATTAATATTATTTTTTATTAATAATCATATCATATTTTTCATTTATCTTAATTTTCTACGTGGCATGTTTGTGATAAGATTTTCGAACATTTTTATTTGTCTATTACGAAAACCGTGCGAGGACCAAAGTTCATATTAATATAAATATAATAAGTTTTGATAACACTGTATTAATAAATTTGATAACCGCACACAGACAAATGTTAAAGTTTTCGAGACTTCATGAGTGAAGTCGAATTGATGTAGTCTTTTATAAAGGTAGAGAATTTAATTGTGAATAAATTTTTCGAATACATCATTTATATCAATTAAGTGGTTTAGAAGTTTTTAGAGATTGAATAAATAACTGCACATCAAAGTCGTAGGTGTTTACTTCACCTGTGCAATTTCTGCACATACATTCCATAGTATTTATTATGATAACAAAAAATAAAATTGATAAGTTTTCAATAGACTATAGGTCTACGTACTATTGTGCATTTTTAAGAGCTCTACAGGACGCACGCAGTACTACACATTTGCAATTCCGTAAAGTAACTACTATAATAAAAAATTAAAAACTTCATGATTTTTCATGATGTGCATAACTCCAAACACTAATATTTTAACAGATCTTTTGCAAAATTGCGCTCCGTGCAAAAATTTGACAAACAGGTCAATTTTTTTGAATTTGTTTTTATCCCAAATATTTTTTTTTAAAACATATATGTGTTGGTATAGGTACATAATTCACACAATCACCAACACAAAATTCACGTTTGTTCAAATTGAGAGGCACAAACGTGACCTTTGATTTAATTTATCAATGATAAGGAGATTGGACACAAGACGTTTCTACGATAAAACTCATTTTGAAAAGTGACATCCACGGTGACAGACATAAAAAAATTGTTAAGAAAATTTTAAAATAAAACTTAAATATATAAGATAAAAAGTTTTAATACTAATTAGTGCACGAGTTAAAGGGACAACCTGGTTAAAAATAGTGTAGACATAAAAATTAAAATTAAAATTATGTGCTGTAGTTCATGAAATAGTATTAGTTTTGTACAAAAAATATATAAATATCTAAAATGACTGTTACCGAAGAAAAGCCTCAAATAGAGCCTATGCTTTTGGAAGAAGGTGGTGCCAAATTAGGGGTCAGTAAAAAAGCACCACAGCTTCTTGTAGCGTCTATCGGTAAGAAATAACTGCCTTATATTTTTTTGTCTACGTTAATTTTTATCAGTAACCGAATTGGCGTCCTTAACTCTATTTTATACAATTTAGTAAAATACATCATTCATGCCAAGCTAATTAATTTGATTACTCTTATTTGATCAAACTACACTCTATAAAGATCAAAATTAAACAAAATAAGTTTAATGTTTTAAAATGTATTAATTATTGAAATATATAGTTGATTTAGAAAGATTTGTATTAATTAAAATTGATAGGAATTGATTAGGATAGATTAAAATTTATTAACCAAAATCTAAATAAATATAACAAAATAGCTTTAAAATATCTAAACTAGATTAAAATTGAACTAAATGAATTATAAAGAATTAAAATAGATTAAAATTGATTTAGAAAAGTCTAAACTGATGTAGATTTATTATAAAAATTGATCTAAATATATATATATATATATATATATATATACACATATATAAATAAAAAATAATCAAATTGGGTAAAAAAATCCAAAATACAATATGATATATTAACATCATTTCAACCAATTCAAATAAATCGAGAGAAATTGTAATATATCTCAATTGACAAAGAAAGATTTTAATAATAATATAATTAAAATAAATACAAATTTCAAAATAATATCTAATTTTCATGTCTAAAACCTAACAATTTCTTGTTGTCCAAGACTTTTTGGACTTCTTGTTGTCCAAGAAGTTTTTGAGAGCAAAGCAAAGTATTCAAAATACACCCAAACATTCTAGAAGCATCTTGAAACTCTGACCAGAATCCTATATAAAATTTTATTAATAATGAAAGTATTTATATGAAAACCATCATAAAACTTGTCACGAACAGGTCAATGAATCTCGATAACCTTTCGTGAAAATCCACAAACGTGTAAAGTGTTTTATGGCGTAAATTATTCATAAAATTTATTGTTAAAAATATTGATTTATTATTAATTATTATTTTTGTTTGCAGTTTGTCTGTGCGCGGTGTTGGCAGGAACCTGCATCGCGTGGAGTTCTCCCGTCTTGAGCGAATTGGAGAACGAGAACTCCACCTTGCCAATAACGCAATCAGAAGGTGAGATTATTTAAATAAATATTAATTAATAGTCGTGAATATATGTATTTTATAGTAAAATATATGTAAAAGATTGAAGTAGTCCTGTGCGCAAAACAATTGTCAAATTTATCTCGATTGATAGTTTATATGGGAAGGTAAAGTTTGATGTTGGTAATGTACTTGGTCGTGAGCTTGAGTTATATATAATTGCATAGGCTTATTAGACTTTGCAAGTTATAAATACAGCAGGCTTATAGATAATTTTATTTAGTTTTGATTTGTATAAAGGTGTATACTTCTATCGTTATCCAGAAAAAAATATAAATAAAAAACTATAAAATTGTGACAATTTTCTTACTGGTAAGTTCTGAGCTGGTAAAGATTTTGTCAGCTCAGTTTTTAATTTTTTTTTAATAAAACGGTTTTGTTAATAAATTTATTTAGTTGCAATTTGTCAAAAAATATATACATCTGCGTTTACTCATTTTTATCTCGTTTTTACTCATAACTTTATCTTGTTTTAGAGTAAAATTCAGCATCTTAAATAAATTAAATTTTAAACCCATAAAAGTAAAAAAAGTGTATACCATTTTTGTACTTGCAGATATTCAAGATCATTTTGATTTAGCTTTCTATTTCAAATGAGATTTCAAAGAAAACCGAGTTGCTGTATAGCATTAAAATAAAGTAAATGATTTGATTTAAATCATATTTGCACAATAATTTATGTACATAAGACGAACGATTTTAAATATGCAACTATTTAATAAATAAGTGCGACAAATTAATTTTACTCTAGAGACGTTTTGTTGGTTTAGTGATAACACTCGTGGAATATTTTACTCAAAACGACACTATTATATATATATATATATATATATATATATATATATATATAAGTTATAATTAGATATAAATTTGCACAGCGTGTTTCAATAATCTTTCTGCAAATAAGTAGTCAATCTTATTTGCGACATGTTTATTGTGAATAAATAAATAAAATTAGATAACTAGGTAAAATAGATTAATGAAAGTTGCTATGCATATATGCACACACAAAAATCCTTAAAATATATTTATTTTCTGTACAAAAATAATAAAAAATTAAATGGCATATGAGTATTTAGACTCATTACATTTATACGAGTAAGATCAACGTTTTTATAATTCTAACAATTCTAAGTAATTTAAAACTATTCATTTTAAAATTAAATTTTTATTTATTTCAAACACCCCTTTGATACAAATCATTTTGTCATAATATTCTTTTTTACTCTTTGATAGTTATCTAAATATTTAAATTATTTGTGAATCTGATATACCTTTTAATATTTAACTTTTCGTTTTTACTTTTCTTTGCTTTGAGCTTTGAACTGTTGTTGTAAATTTTTAATTATTAGCGCTCGTAGCAATAATATTTTCCTGAAACATGTGTGCAAATTTTCGCAAAATATTTTAATAACATTAAACATTTTGTCATAGTCCCCCGTACTATTCGTCTTAATGACTTCATGCATCATTTTAATTTTAATACGTCAATATCTATCGTAAATAATATTTTTCTCAAAATTTATCTATTGCAAGGCCGATAAAGCAGATTTACTGTCCCATTTAAATTATAAATAAATACAAACGTCATTGTAAAATTTATTGTAAAAATAGTGGTGTATTCAAGAAACTCTACAGGACGTACCTTTTGTAATGTGAATCCTTAAGGTATCTATATATCTAACAATAAGATAAATAGGTTTTGTAAAGAAATTGTGTGTTTAAACGTTCAAGCGAATAAAAACACTAATCTAAGATACAATCGAATAAATTTACTAGACTAGACTTAAACTCCCAATTATAACCCCCCAATTCAAAATATTTATACTATTAATAATTTTTAAAGTGTCAATTATGACAAACTATATAAGATGCAATTTAATCTGTCATATACTGAAATTATATGTAAAATGTTGTTAGCCCAAACAGTTCTAACCAATGCAATACCCAATTTATTACAAAACTGTACAAAAATTCAATCTAAAGCTTTCATCTGTCGATAAGAGAACATTAATTAATCTTTAATTGTGTACGAATAATCTTTTTACTTATTTTATCATATTTACGTACTACTGTGTTCACACTAATCTTATCTCACATATTTGTGCGATAATAAATTGTTTAAACAAATATATATATTTATTTTAAATTTAATTACTTTTCTCTTATTTGTTCAAGTCCACGCAATATGTCATTTAACATCTTATATAATATTTGTCACTCGATTAAATATATAATAACATTAAGCTCGTTTTTTATCCCACTACTTGCACAATAGAAATAGTACAAATTAAATGACACTATACTCAGACCTATCATCAGACTCAATAATACTTCATCTTTCGTTATTCGCAGATCTTTTTAACTATTATTCCCTTTCTTTAGGATCATGGATAAGTTCTCTCTTAGCAATTGGTGCCATCGTCGGCGCCCCCCTAACAGGGTTTCTGGTGGAAAAGTTTGGACGCAAGATGACTAATTTGATGTTGGGATTTCCGTTTCTGGCCAGTTGGGCCCTTATAGTATTCACCAATTCGGTGACCTGGTTGTACATTGCTAGGATCCTGGGCGGGATAGCCACTGGGGGTGCATGTGTGGCGACGCCGATGTACGTGAGTGAGATTTCCGAGGTGAGTCAAGAAATGGACTGAATTCAGTAGAAAGTGTAAAACATTTACTATGTTTTCTTGCTTACAGGATTCACTCCGTGGTACGCTAGGCGCCTTTTTTCAACTCTTTCTGACCTCAGGAATCCTAGGTGTGTTCGCCATAAGTTCTGTTGTCACCTACAAAGTGATGAGCACCTGCTGCGGGTTGATCACCGTTATATTTGTGCTTCTATTTTATTTCTTCTGTCCAGAGACGCCAACGTATTTGCTAAAAATTAACAAAACATCGGACGCCAAAAATGCACTTTTTAGATTGAGGTTGGTTTAAAAGTTGATAATTGATAACTATGAAAACGCGGTGACGTTAAATTTGTATTTATTAGAGGTGAACGATGCGGGGCGGAACGTGTTTTGAAGCAGATCCAGGAAGATATTGATAAAAGTTCAGGAGGCAACGTGTCCATTAAGGATTTGGTAAATTCAACATCATGTTACTTCAATTAATATCGTACTTATCTATTATCTTCCATCAGTTTTCCAATCGTGTCACCTTCCGCGGTCTAGTGGCAACTTTGGGTCTCATGGTTTTCCAACAGTTGTCTGGAATCAATGCTGTGATCTTCTACAGCGTGTCCATATTTAAATTAGCAGGAAGTGACCTGGACCCTGCGGTGTCTTCGATCATCATCGCAGCAGTGCAAGTGGTGATGAGTCTAGCTGCTATTGGATTGGTAGAGAAATTTGGTCGGAAAACTTTGCTAATGATCAGTTCCACGGTTATGGGAATCTGTTTGGCAGCTTTGGGGTATTACTTCAGGTATGGTAAAGAAATAATGCATGTAATAATGATACAATTTTTATTGTTTACAAAAACCGTCGTGACGAAAAAAATACGAGTACATACAAATTTTAGTCATACATAGTAATCAGTCTGATCCCTGTCGTTTGTTTTTATCATTTCTGCGCTTGTTGCAGAGAGCGCAACGTCCCTTGATCCTTTTTAAGTGTCTTTTTTCGGATCTTTTTTTCACATTTTTCAAAATCAGCTTACGATCTTTCCTGGTGTGCATATATTTCCTAAAAAAAATCAAATTTCAGACTACATGGAAACGATTGATGTGTTGTTTAGTAGTACCTTTGTTGTTTTGCTACTTCAGCGTTGCTATTGCATTCGGCAGCAGTGGGGGCATAATACCTGCCGTTGTGCGAACTTATTAGATTTTTTAGAATTGCAAAAACCAACGCTTTTTTGATATGAAAACCGACATTTATGTCGCGGTTTGCCATCGTTTCTTCTTTCGCAATTTGCCGGTATATTCGCCTAAGAGATAAAACCAAAGTTTCCAAGATTACCATTTGATACACACAGACAAACATATTTATATATGTATGTATATATGTATATATTACCTTTGTATTGTATGCATTGTAATAGTATTTTTGCAATTAGTGCCAGCCAAGGCCTTCAACAAGTGCACTAGGAGTCTTGGGGTTCTGCCTAAAGATTTAACTCCAATATATAATATTATATAATTAAAGTTATTCAAAACTAACATACCTGTATTGGTCGATTTTTTATGGAACCTCTTATCGTTTTCTGCAGTTTCATGACTCTCACTTCCACCCATGTTAATGAATTACAAATTTTAAAATTAATTAAAAAATCCAAATTGACATTTTTTTGTTTTTTTTTGTCATGCCGTAAATATAAAATATAAACCTTTAGTTTAATTATATAACAATTAGGTCTAGTTTTTCCTTGTCCATTGAATTCCTTTCGTTTCACAAAATACTTGGAAAAACTATAATGCACAAAAAGATTTGGCATTATTTTTGGCACGAGGTGTAAAGAAGTACGTAATACATATGTTTTTCAAACGTCTTTGATAAGCAATAGGTAAGAACTTTGAACACGTGCAATTTGCACATGTCTTTTCTGGTTAAAACTTATATCATATATTATATACTTATATCATATACTATTTACTTATATCATATATTAAGTAAATGTGTAAATAAGTAGGCTTAAACAATCATTTAATCATTTGTGAAACAACGTATAGTTAGTTATTTAATTTGCATATATATACGAGGTCTGTTCAAAAAGTACCCGGAATTTTCGTTTTTTCAAAAAAATATTTATTTATTCGTCTACATTAATGTGGTCCCCTTCAAAGTAGTCCCCCCCAGATATAATACACTTATGCCAGCGTTTTTTTTCAATTTTCGAAGCACCCTTGATATTCACTTTTTGATATGTCCTTGAGCACTCTCAGCGATTTTCTTCAATCGAGGAAAACCGCCGTCCTTTCATGGGTCTCTTCAACTTTGGGAATAGGAAAAAGTCACACGGAGCCATATCTGGTGAATTTTTGCACTTTGCAACACTTTATTTCATTTTTTACGCAAAATTTAATACAAATTCTTTGACTTTTCAATTCTTCCATTGTAAAAATCGCCGAGCTCAGAAAAACACGTCGAACCTTAGCGACTACCACTGACAAAGTAAACAGTGAATATAGCTGAAAATTTCATCATACTTTAGGGGCATGTATACCAACACAATAAAAAAAAAATGTTGACAATCAGACACTCCAGATCCGCGAAATTTAATTATTAGTAATTCCGGGTACTTTTTGAACAGACCTCGTATATATATATATATATATATATATATATATATATATATATATATATATATATATATATATATATATGTAGTCTTTGCAATGTGATTTGGATATGATACATAGCTAGTATCAACCACCAACACATATATACTATGTTGCAACGTTGCAACCTTTCACATATTTCTCTGTATTTCATCATATATTATCTGTTGTCACAAAAAGTCAGCACTTATTATATTCAAACATACTTGGCAGGGTGCAAACATCAGGCGAAGACGTCACCTCTCTGGGCTGGCTTCCTCTGTCTAGCCTGGTTTTGTTCATCGTGGCTTTTTGCATAGCCTATGGGCCCATTCCCTGGATGGTCATGGGTGAGATTTTCTCTGCCGACGTTAAAGGAGCTGCTTGCAGCCTAACAGTCATCGCCAGCTGGTCCCTCGTCTTTCTGGTCACTAAAGTATTCCCCAGCATGAGGGAGACTTTAGGAGGAGATGTCACCTTTTGGATCTTCACTTTCATGATGATCGTAGCAACTGCTTTCGTGTTCTTCTTGGTGCCGGAGACGAAAGATAAAACGTTGGCTGAAGTCCAGGACGAATTAAGAGGGCACCAGAGTCGGATATAGAGGAATAATAATATATTATTGTAATGAATAAGGGATATTTTTATAGGGAAAAGCTGATGTTTTTTTCAGCGGTTTTAACTAATTAATTAATTTAATGATTGTGTCAATCATTTTTAATTAATGAAAAAATATGAATATTTATTGGATATTTAAATGACGATTTGTAAACTTAAAAATAAAAAATAATTTATTAAAATTATTATCTTGTTATTTTATTGAAGTAAAACTTCTTTAGGCGCGATATGGGTGTAAAAATTTCTTTAGGCTACACGGGTGTAAATCCGTACAAATGCAACGAAAACGCCAACGTGTAGTTGAACACTACGACGCCGTAAGCGCTGATGTCGCGAGTATCCACTCCCGTCATGTCATGCGCAAATCGAGCGCTAAACCCTATATGAACTTGCATTAATTGAATCACGTTTTTTTACAAAAGAAGAGGTTGCTGTATTATGTCCTCATGGAATAAGACTTTTCTTAGAGAATAAATGTGTCATGGAATATAATAAATTTATACTGAATCTCGTTGAAGACAAAATAATATCTACTGCCACGGATATTTATGTAGGTTGCCATGCGACAGATCAACAATCATACATTCGTCAGCAGTTTCAAAAAAATCGGTTATTGATACCGGGGCTTTGCCGTATGAAATAATTTTAGTTCTGAATAAATTTTACATAATAACAACTAATATTGATGTAAGTGATGGCTTAGCTAATGGTTGTGTGGGAAAATTAGTGTACATAGAACGTGGCGATAATGATGAACTTCTACGTTTATGGTTCGAATTTCCCGGTAAGATAGGTAACAAAATTAGGAAGAAAGCTTCACATCATATTCAAACTCTTAATATCAGTAGGACAGCTGTGCCGATTCTCAGGAAATCTTCATCTATTCCAATGAATAGAAATAAAATCATATTTGTCAAAAGAAATCATTTTCCTTTAGTGTCTGCTTGTGCACTCACAATACACAAATCACAAGGTGGTACTTTTGATAAAATTGTATATGAATACAATAAAACACATAATCAGCAGCTTCTATATGTTGCATTATCACGAGTTACCAGCATTAATGGATTGTTCATCATTTCTAAAACAACGACAAAAAATTTTATATTGGAAGAAAACGGCCAGCAGGATTAATGGACTTAAAAACTGAATTCCAAAGACTTTCAACTTGTAGATTAATAACACAAGAAGAAAAAATGAGTGAGATAATAAGTTTGAACGACATTTCATTGTTTTCCTTTAACTGCCAAAGTTTACGAGCTCATTTGCCTGATCTGCAAGATAAAGTGCTACAACGTTGTACGTTTTTGTTATTTTCGGAAACTTGGATTAATAATGAAGAACGAATTAATATTCAGAACTATTACTGCGTTACTCAATACAAACGATCAAACTCAAGAGCAGGTGGTGTAGCTGTCTAATGTCTATCATTCATGTTCAGATACTGTTCATAATGCCACTCCTATGCAGTTTCTTGCGCCAACGATATTACTGGATATTCCTAATGAAATTACACAAGTAGGTGATATAACACACACAGAATCAAACATTAATTATAGTCGTCCTTTAAATTTCTCCCAATAAAAACATATAAAATATTATTGAATTTCTTCATCAGCAGTTACTTCATTTTTCTAATGAGGGTGCAAAACTTTTAAACACTAACCACAACGAGATACCATTAATTCTTGCTGGAGATTTCAATGTCAATTTTCGTTCAGAAGAATCTCAACCATTAATTGATTTTTTAAATAATAAATTCAATTTAACAATGAATAATTCTCCATTTGATTCAACCACAAGATATGGCTCGACTATTGATGCAGTTTTCTCCAGAAATGTACATAGTTTACAAAGCAAAATTTATGTCACTCATTTTAGTTATCACAAACCTATTATATCATATATGAAATATGATAGCAATTAATCTATCGTTGTTGTTTTAAACTGTGTTATTGATGTTATGTGATTATTAATAAATAATTTTTAAAATTCAAATATGATGTTTTTTTATTTTTATCTTAATTGTCTACTCATACAATATTAAAAGTTTTACTTCAATCGCGTGTGATCCTTACGCGCACTCTTTTTTTTGTTTTAAATAGGACGATTTATATAAGTAACGTATTCAAGACATTCGTATAAAATAAAAAATTGTCAAAAACCCTTAAGCCCTAAGTTACATTAACTATATTGTATATTCAAAAATCGTGGTAAAAAATGAGAAATAAAGAAAATGAGATCATTGTTGCAAAATGATTTTATAAGAAAATTTTCTAGAATTCACTAGAAAAATGAATGTTTTATGAATAATAATGAATGGTTTATGTTAGTTGATGAGATACATTGTTTTATTAAGTTGAAATTATTTCATTTCAACATTTTGTAACATATATTACTTATAAAGCAAATTTTCAAAATTTGCCTAACCTAACTGAAAGTGACATCTTACCGCATAAACCTGAACTGTTGTGACAGTCAGCGCTTTAGAGGTTAACGTGATAGTTCTGAACACGTGCAAATATTATTTAAAATATAATTAATACATTGGGTTTATTAATTAATATAGTAGACAGTAGTTATATTATTATCATAATGGGAAATGACAAAGAAGTATTTGATAATAAAATGCAAGAGGATGACGAAGAAAACGAAATGCCTACAGAAAGTATTCTTCTTCCTAGTGAGAGTAAATTCGGACACATCAAAAATAAAATAGTTCGTGCTCAAAGAGCTGCTAAATACAATAAAGAAAAACGTAAACAGAAAAAAGAAATACGTGCAGAACGAGAAAGAACAGGTGCCCCTAAAGGTGTATCCCATACTATAGAAAGTCTTCGAGAAAAAGATGAAACTACTGTAGGCGATATAGACGATGATGAAAACGCTGAGTTGCAATTAGAGCTTGAAAACGATGAATTTAGTGACTATTACCAAAAAACGTATGCACCTAAAGTACTTATAACATATTCCGATAATCCTTTGAAGAAAACCAGAATCTTTGGCCGGGAACTTACACGCATTTTTCCAAATTCTATAGCACGATACAGAAACAGATCGGGTGTGAAGAAGATTGTAAAAAGTGCCATATCACAAAACTACACAGATGTTGTGATCATAAATGAAAACCGTAAAGAACCTGAAGGCCTTCTTATAATACACCTGCCGAATGGTCCTACTGCACATTTTAAATTGAGCAATGTTAAAATAACAACCGAATTGAAGAAAAGTCATAAACAAATCAGTCAACATAGACCAGAGGTTATATTAAATAATTTTACAACACGTCTAGGCTTAACCGTAGGCAGGATGTTGGGATCTCTGTTTCATTATGAGCCTGAATTCAAAGGGAGACGTGCTGTGACATTCCATAATCAACGTGATTATATTTTTTTCAGACATCATAGATATGAGTTTTCAAATGATGGTAAACGTGCTAAATTGAAGGAGTTGGGACCTAGATTTACATTAAAATTGAGGTCTATACAACAAGGGACGTTTGATTCGAAATTTGGAGACTTCGAATGGATTATTACAGGCAAGAGGCACCAAATGGAGACTAGCAGAAGAAAATTCTTTCTATAGACATAGGAATACATATTTTTATACTGTATGTATTATAACAAAATGTACGTTAATTACCAAATACAAGTGTTTTATTCAAACTTCGTATGTATTTTGAATAATTCTATTTTGTTTTGAAAAAGTATGTTTGACATTTTAAAAATGTATTTTCTAATTGTTTATACAATAATCACTCTAATAACTTTGAGGCAAACATTTGGAAGACAATTTGAAGGAGATGATATCCTGGATCATCATTATCCTTCTGCTGTGTATATATACTCAAACAAAGGTGAAATATAAGTTTTCTATTGATTTAAAATTATTGATATTTACCTTACTATGAAGCTCCAAAATATATTGTAGTAGTAAAAGTAATTGCTTACTTGAATATTTAATATACATAGTCTTAAAAACACATAAAAGATAATGATGGATTTAATCTAATCACATTCTAATCACAATGATAATAAATATATTAACTTTCAAAATACACTGATACACAACTAAACTAGAAATTTGAATTGAACTAAGAACTTATTATAACTTATATTAATTTTCAAAATGTCTTCCACATCAATTGCATACCTACCTGTACCAACCCTTGGATAATAAAAACATTTTTATTAAACCATAAAATCCATTGAATAAATAATAAACTATGAAATTCAATTTTTAAATTATTTTAATATTTTATATTAAAGCAAAATCAAATAAAAAAAACTTACAATATCCAACTGTACAAAAAATGACTGTACGCATAGTTTAGCACATATATTAAAACTTCTGATATTAAATATTATAAATAAATAAATAAATTATAACCTTTAGCCATTTATTCAAATTCAGAATTATTTTTTGAAAATAATATATTAACTAATTTTTGTTTATCTATTTGAAATGTTGGTCCCATTGATAAATAAGCATAATGGTTGGTACAACCGTTTTGCAACCTAGAATAATATACAATGAGTTTTGCAAAAAAAAAATGGTGTCAACAAATAAGTTTCGGAGTTTTCAATTTTATTCGTTTGTACTAATTATAAGTCTGAATAATTCAAATAATTTATTGAAACACGTGTGATATTATAGTTTTAGTTCAAGATGCTACTTTAATTTTGAATATAACGAGGTACGTTATGAAATGAATTTATTGACCTAACTTAACCTATATTTTACCTCTATATTTTGATTGCATTTTTTTTAATTAAGAAGGATTCTCGTTGCATATTGTGACACTTGAAAATGTAGTAAATTAATTCAAATTCTAAAAACATTCATATTAATAAAACAGGAAAATTTGTCTTCGCGAAAGCTAAATGTGATTGTGTTGTCATTTTAAGGTGCTCTGGGGTTTTGTAGAGTCTTTGCTGTTAGATTATTCGAAAATTAATTAATGTATTAACGTTTTACAAGTATGTCTTGTTTATTTAAGATTTATAATAACTCAAAACTTAAACGACTTCAATGTTCTTTTTTCATTTTTGACGCAATTTTAAGGTATATCCAGTTGCCTTATATTAGGGCTATATTTTAAGAGAAAGATATTAGAAAATCTTTGCGGATGATTTGACTTTTAAAAAATTTATTTATTATATTATATTTCAATTAGACTAACCACACATTGGATAATAATTAAACGTGGTATTGAATATTTGAAGGTCACCCTGGCATTTTGAATAACGATATTTTAGAGTATATAAAGTTGTCTTAAGGTTTTGTAATGTTAGACACTATTGCAGATCATTCAATATCTCCAAATTAAATAGTTCAAAAGTACTGATGATGATTTAATACAAATAATGATGCATTATGATACAAATAATAATGCATTATGATAAGTTTTTTTTGTTTTGGAAGCAATTTTAAAAATGTCCCGATTTTCAGTAGAACTATTGTGATATACAATTGTGTAAATTCTTTAATTTTGTACAAATAACATAAAATAACACAAAATAAATCAAATAACATAAAATAACAAAATGCATGAAGAATTCGCGAGCCTCCTCAGAATTCGAGTAGCATTCCTATTTTCATTTGCAATTGTGAGTTTGCAGAATTAATAAACGGCTTTATAATCTCAAGAAAATCCTATACAGTATTAAATTCTTTACAAACGCATAATTCACATTAATTCAATCGTTTAGTAGTTAGATTTATGAATAAACATAAATTTGTTTCATAGAAATAGGGGGCGATTAGCTGTCTGACTGATTGTATGTTCAAAAGTGATTTTAGAGTATTCCGTGTACACAATCTTACACTATAATTAATTTTGCACGAGCTTGTCAAATATTTTCCATATTTTGGACGCATCATTTAAAAGTTACAAAAGATATAGCTCAATTCCGTTTTTATTTACAGATGGTCACTTTGTTTGCGGAGGAGTCATCTTAACAACTTCCGTCGTCGCAACTTCATTATCTTGTATGGTGAATAAATCTGCGCCTGATGTTTATTCGGATGAACTGATAAATTTTAATAATTTACGAATCGGAGCAGGAGAGTCCTATTATACTGTAAGCAAAATTAACCAGCTGTACTAATAGTCTATCTTATCTATTTTCAATGACAAATTAGCAGTGTAACAATTTGCTTTAGGATTTTAATATTAGATAACATTGTAATTAATTTAATTTTTTAAAATTGTGTCATAGATTACTTCAAACTCTATTATTTTAAAACTTATAGATTTTGTAAACATAATTTCCGTTTCTTAGGAAAATATAAAAGCTTACAAGACCTTCGAGATAGAATCTGTGTATAAAACAAATGATTCCTTGATCATCCTCGGGGACCATATGCTGGCTTTGCTGATGTTGAAGACTCCGATAGAAGTCGACGAACAAATGAGGCCTGCGACACTTTCAAATCCGGTTTGTGACGGAACTGGATCTTTACTTGAACAAAATTTGGAATGTTCGACCCTAAGTTGGGTCCCTACAGGCAAACATGAATGGTAATGGACCTTAGGGAAATTTGAAATATGCTTAGCACTAATTTTTATTTAATTCTAAAATGCACATATTCATAGAATTATCATCAATAACTTTTCAACAAATTGATGAATTTGAATGTTGTTATAGAAAAAGTGGGAGAAATTTAAATTATATACTACATTGATCATCTCGGTATACTTTAAAATTAGTTTCTTAGCTCACTGCGCATATCATTATCAACTTAATTGTTTATAAGGCTACCACATTGCGATTGATAAAAGCATTTGGATAATTAATTCATGATTATATAATTTGCAACATTATCTAATACTATAAATTATAACGTCAACTTTAGAATAGATGAGAACATAATTTAAAATCCAAAGTGATACACTACTATACAACTTATTGGTGCATTTATTTATTATATAGCTTGTAACTTTTAAACTATTTGTTCAATATAATTGCAGTATTTGACAAATGTGTATAGAAGTAAATAATTTACAACTTTGTATACCGTAAAATTGCACTTAAACACTATATGTTTATTATAAAAGAGATACGAGATGAACTAAACTGAAAGTAGAACAATTTACATTTCTTGTACAAAATATTCTAGATCAACTCGGTATACATGGTCTGTTCAAAAAGTACCCGGAATTACTAATAATTAAATTTCGCGGGTCTGGAGTGTCTGATTGTCAAAATTTTTTTTTTATTGTGTTGGTATACATGCCCCTAAAGTATGATGAAATTTTCAGCTATATTCACTGTTTACTTTGTCTGTGGTAGTCGCTAAGGTTCGACGTGTTTTTCTGAGATCGGCGATTTTTACAATGGAAGAATTGAAAAAGTCAAAGAATTTGTATTAAATTTTGCGTAAAAAATGAAATAAAGTGTTGCAAAGTGCAAAAATTCACCAGATATGGCTCCGTGTGACTTTTTCCTATTCCCAAAGTTGAAGAGACCCATGAAAGGACGGCGGTTTTCCTCGATTGAAGAAAATCGCCGAGAGTGCTCAAGGACATATCAAAAAGTGAATATCAAGGGTGCTTCGAAAATTGGAAAAAACGCTGGCATAAGTGTATTATATCTGGGGGGGACTACTTTGAAGGGGACCACATTAATGTAGACGAATAAATAAATATTTTTTTGAAAAAACGAAAATTACGAAAACTTTTTGAACAGACCTCGTACTTGGCATACAAAATAGACGTCAAATCGAGAATAAAACCATTTTTGTTCTAACATGCGAAGTTTGAATAGGATCTATTTAAAATAATTATTTTGTTATATGTTTAATTAATTTTTTTAGTTAGATTTATATTAATAGTTTCAAAATTGAACAGAGCCTTAGCTATAAATTTGTATGTCTTTCTATTCTCAATCTAATGTTTTTCCACTTATACATTGCAAAAATATAAATTTCTGATGCACTTACGGACAAATATTGTCAGTTGAAATTTAAGTCACTTAGATTCTGATAGAATGTATAATGCTCTGAAGAGACCTTTATAATTTTAAATAATTTTATAACCTATTTCAGGAATCTGCATCATACTCGAGTCAATCTTTTGCCTCTGAAACGTTGCATGGTTTTACAACCAAATAAGTTACTCGACTTGGATGATGATTTACACATTTGTGTCACAATTATGTCTGAAGCAAAACATGAAGATGAAGAGAATGACCATCATGATGATTATGATGATGATGATGATGATCATGATGATCATGATGATGATGACGATGAACAATCTTTAAAATCAGATTCTCCACTCGATTATGATGAAGGGGCTCTCTTGGTTTGTGGAAGAGGTTCACAGGAGAATCTGGTTGGAGTGTTTCATGGATTCTATCGGATGAAGCCTAGTGGACATACTGGTGTACCTTATGTAAGTTGGAATTGACATATACATATATATATATATATATATATATATATATATATATATATATATATGATAAATACTATTGTAGGTCTTTACAAGACTAAAGAACTATATTGGATTGATACACAACCAATTCAGACACGGATACTCCTCGAGTTCACATTATTTTGTTACAAATGTATTGTTGTGTATTGTATTTGTTACATATATAATATAAATAAAAACAATAAAACAACACAAAAACTTGAAAACAATTTAATAACAATTTCATAGATATTAGTGTAACAAATAAAAACGTCCCCGGGTACATTATGATTTGTTAATTTATACAAAATTGCTAAATTAGTTTTCATCTGTTTCTGCAATTTTCCGAGTCACAATGTTTGCTATGAATTACGCTTGCACTGGTTCAAATCTATTTTCGATTTGCTCGTCTTTTGATTCTTGTAGTTTTTTGTGAGGGGTTTGTCTGGAAACATGTTTATTATAAAAAAATTGAGAATTTTTTTTTAAATTTTAAAATTAAAATTTATATATTGTTTGAAACATAAATATCTCAAAATTAAAAAAAAAGGGATATGTAAATATGTAAGCATAAAATGAAGTAGAAGTTGTGAATGTTTATGCAATTGAAGACATGAAGAATTTGTAAATAAATGTACAAGGGAATTTGTATTTTTTTAAATAATACAATGAATAAGTATATGCTTCAATGAATGTGTAAATATGGATTTGAAAAATATATAATGATTTCTGTGAATGAGTAAATGTACATTGATTTAATCAATGTAAAAATGAGTAAGTTCATAAATGTATATAATGAAAGTGAAATAATGAGCGTGTAAAAGAGTAAATTTGTATTAAATAAATGTGTAATTGAACAAAAGACGGTTTAAATGAAGGTGCAAACACAGAATAAATGAATTGAATGCGTATGCGTGATTAAATGTAAATGAGTAAATAAGTAATAGTGAAAATGATTAAATGAAATTTTTTCAATGAATTAGTATGTTGGTAAATCAATAAATATTTAAATGAGATTTAATAAATAAACAGTGCAATTGCGTGTAAATGTGCGAATTATCAATAGATGTAAATGTACCAAGAATATCTAAAGATACTAATGGATATTGTTTTATTGTGAAAATGCGTGAATGATTAATGAATGCGAAATGAATTGTTTAATAGAATAAATAATTGCGAAATGTTTGAATTAATAAAAAGTGTCAAAACATTAATGAGTAAATAAATATATTATTAAATTTAATAAAAAATGGGTTGGATGGAATTGATCCTATATGTTTATATAAAATGTTTATAAATTTCTTTATAAAATACATTAAACAAGTACGTATATATAGTATGTAATTGTTCAGAAACTTATTAACATTGATGGTTAGGTACGTAGAAACGAAACTTTTAATTATTTAACGTAATTAAATCCCTTAATTTCAATTAATTTGTGAAAAAATATTAATTGACCTTGCCATCTTTCAATTTACTAAACTTTTTCTCAATATCGTCCGTAGACGGCGCCACTTCGCGTAGTCCTTACCAGCGCCGCTGAATTCGGCACCACCGGATTTCTGCGTCCGCTCCTTGGGGAAGGTATCGAATCCAGCTCATCCAGTCGGAAGGAACTGTCATCCCCAGAAGCAGCGACATCAAATGGGTTCTGAGAGTTCTCCTCGAAACTGGGGCCTGGTTCTCCAGAGATGTCTCGGGACACATCATTGTCGGGCATCATGCCCAGGAGCCAATCATCGGACAGGTTGTTGCGTGTGTGACGCCGCCTTATGCCGTGCCTGAAAAGGTAAGTGGTAAAATTTGTTTAATTTAAATTAATAAAAATCTCACCTCGATGGCCTCTTTATAGCGTTTTTTTGAATCCTGTGCAAGGAGTTCTTTTGGGCCACAAAACCACTACCGCACTGTGTAACCTTGTCGGCTTTTCTAAAAAACAATTCAACTAAAAATTACTTTTTTATTTTTGTTACTAACATCCACACTAGTTTTAACATATGACATACATGGCAACAATATCTCGATAATAAGTTAAATTCATAAATTTGCAAAAATGGAGTCAAATCTGGTTGGGAATTACGTTACGTTTGTGCTTTTGCTCAAGTTTTAAACATACATTTTTACGCAATTTTATCTAGTTCTAGTTTTATGAAACTACAATTTCGTATCTTCTAAAAGGTTACATCTAATAAAACGTCACCTCTTCCTAGTTTGCCTCCTGTAAAAATACACGCATGTGATCACCAAAGCCACCAACAAATTCATCGCAAAAATAAATTTCAAATCATAAAAAGATGGTTTCTCAGATTGAATTTTACGCCATGGAAAAATCGAGAACATACTTCAGTGTATTTGTAACATGCAAAAAAAACCTAACATTATTTAAAAATTAAATATAAAAGAAATTGTTTGAAATTTTGATGAAAAAAAAATAAAACAATTCTTTTGTTATTGAAATTTTATGTCATCTTTAATTTGACGTGATTTTGTTTTAAGCTAGAAGTGATTGTAAAATCACATTTTGGTAAAAATTAAATTGTTTTGTTGAAATATAATGATATATAATAACTAAAGCGTCAGAATAATGTTTACAAGTGGTAACAGTAAAGTTCTTAGGCTTGTAATGTTTTTATTGTGCGTTCTGAGAACATTTTTGAATTTTTTTACTTAGTTTTTGCATGATGCAACAGATTTTCAAAAACATCTTGATTTTTTATTATCACACGAATTGAGTATGGTCTTTCACATCAAATATGTTTTTGTATGTTATCTATTAATTTTAAAAAATCTCATTTTATATATAGATATAATATATATATAATTCAATATTTGATTTAATTATATACACAACTACTATATATAACATATAAATTATATTTAAATTTTTAATTTGAAACATCGAGAAATTTCAATTTCTATTTTGGAAAGCTAATTATTACATATTCATATTTGAAGATTTTCTATATTCTAATTAAAAAATAAATATATATCAAAATTAATAATAATAATTATTTCAAATTTATAATTTATATAAAACTATCTATTTATATTTATAAATATTTAATTATATATTTATTGTATTTTTTATTTATTATTGTATTAATTTGGCAATGAGACTTTTGTGATGAATCGGTTTCCGAGGTTTCACCGGAATGTTGTAGATGTTTTGCCTCATATAAGATCCTGAAAATGAAGGTTATTAATTATTATACTTAATTAATTCATTATTAATTAAAATACCTGGTTGTCTGTACAGAACCACTGCCTTGAAGCCTTTTTCGCCATCTACTTCGTAGTGGACGGATCTCACCTGAAAAAGGATAAATTGTATTAATATATATTGAGTTTAACTCAGCTCACATGCCGGGTTAGCTAGTATATATATATATATATATATGTATTTCACAATCGCCAGTATAAAGTTACAGCCTTAGACAAGATAAAACTAGACATTTTTTTCGAAACTATTCACTTTATTTTAAAAAGTCTTCCGAATTTTTAACCAATTTTTAAATATTGTCGACCGTGCAAATTCTTCATCAGCTCGGTCTTTACAGACTCATCGAAGATGAAATCGCCTCACTTTTTTACCGAGGTTCAATTTTTTTAATTTTTTCTTATAAATTGTACCACTTACATTTCCACCGGGTTCCATCAACGAATATCCTCCTAAAAATTAATATGTCTAATTATATGATATTTAATTAATTATTTAAAATTGAATATTAACAAAATACCTGTAACGAAATCGTCGTTATTATTTTTTTCTCCTCTTGCCCATGTGTGCATGAAGACACCTAAAAATAATTCATATATCTAAATGAATAAATTATATATATATATATATATATATATATATATATGTGTGTGTGTGTGTGTGTATGTTGTATATAATTTATTTCAAATGAAAAAAATCACTTTTATTAAATCTTTCAGAAAATATTCAGAAATTTCATCATATGCATCGAGTTTTCAAATACGAATTTGAAGAGTTATTTTGAAACTCTCGAAATTATTGAAATTATACAAACTTTAGCTATAATGTCCTTATATATTAAGCGTCATTTTATGAAAATTTCAAATAAAATCAATTTATCATATTTTTAATCATTCGAACCAACCATTTCTTACATAAAATTCGTTTTTTGTGCAAATTTTAAAGTAATTTCATTAAAATATGTGCAAACATATTATTATTTTGCAACTATGCTTCCTCCGATTCATTCGCTAAACACATTTATATAATGATAAAAATAAATAAATAATTAAATGTTTGAATATGCAAAATTTAAACTACTAAACTATAGTTTGCATTACTAACTTAGGTATTTTTTATTTAGTACTATTTTAATGTTTATTTTACCTGATGATGGATGATCGACTGAGTATGCATATTCGAATGTATTCTGAAATAAACAACGTATTTTTCATATTTACTATTTATTTATATGATCAAAAAAAATAGTTTATGCAAAAGTCTTGTGCATAAATATAGAATATATTTTTTAAATATCTAGAAGCATTTTAACAAAATACAATATATTTTTTACTAAACACCATTAACTATAGTATAAAATATTTCGTACATTTATAAATTACCTTTTCGGTGTCGATGTATCTCGAGTCCGTATTGACAGTTTGGTAACTTTTATTTAAAATTATTAAAAATATGAATAAAAACAATGTTGTATTTGCACGAAATTCATTAGTAAACTTATTTAGTATTTTTTCGATGAGGTCTTGCATTATCTAAATTGTCATATATATACAAAATTAAAACTATATTTCTGGAATTAATATATTTTGTAACGTGTTTTTTTATGAGTATACTGGATTGATATTTAATTTAATATATAAATATTAGATTATATAATTTAAGAGAGCACCGAGTTCTTCTAGAATTGTATGAAGTTAGTAACTATTTTAGATTATTAATATTTCTTACAAATTCGTTTAGTGTTTTTCAAAATTAGAGGTGTGCTATAAGTAGTACATATATATTTATATATATATATATATATATATATATATAATTTTACTCTAATTTATATTAATTGTTACACATCGTTTTCCTTTTTGTATAAATTCATAATCAAAATTTTTATTTGACATGTAGAGCTTTCAAGCTTTGCGAGCTTTTCCGACAAGACGTCTCCACCGTATACAATACATTTATCTTTTTTCAGAAGGAGAAGTTGGTTTTTACTAAATTGTTGCAAAAAGTTTGTGTGTAGTATGTTTGTGTACCGATTTGTCCATAGACTTTATGGTCTAAACAAATATTCTAAAATATTCTAGTCGTACAAAACCTGGTTTATTTTTAAAAAAGTTTTTCGATTTTTTCATGTTTGATTTGTTTTTTAGTTTAATATACATATCCATAGATAACTTTATATATATATATATATATATATATATATATATATATAAATCTGTTTCTATCGTGCTAACATTTATCGCGAATAATTTTGCTAAGAATGTTAAAATCGTGAAAAGCTAAAAGTTAAATCTATTATTATGCATGATTCGGTTTTGCAATAAACAAATTAAAATTGCAATTGCAATAAAACACTTTTGTTCGATTGTAATCGAATACAGAGATGAAATATTATTCAAAAATAGAAATTAATATAAAATAAATAAATCATAGCGATTATTTACAAATATTAAGTATAAAAGACAAAGATATATATATATATATATGTATATATATATATATATAAGTATATATATATATATACTTAATAAGTCATTTTCTCACATAAATTTTACATTATTTATTTATGTGGGTCATATAGTTACATGAGCACTGTTATATAATTTCTTACATATATATGTATATATATATATATATATATATATATATACATATATGCATTGAAATCATAAATACTTAAATATTAAAAGAATTAAGCAATTTATTTGTTTACGTTGTGAATAGTATAAATTCTTTTATATTTTTTCAATCAGAATCTGTAATATTATTTACTACGGCTTGTATCTAAATAAGTAAATGAAAAAAATTATAAATAATATTTTTAGAAACTTGGCAAACCGCGGCAAAAGTTAATAATTTTAGTTTGTTTACAAAAGGCCTCACATTTCTAAAACGTTTTTGATGGTTCCAAAAAATCATTCGATTTATATTTCTGATATTTAGATAAAAAATTATATTTATAAAATAAATATAATAAATAATTATAATTTGCGCTAGCATTGTGCCAAACTTGAAAAATATACCTTTCTTTAAAACAAAGTTTCTGTTGTATCTCTGGATTTGTTATGAACGACTGAACTGTTTTTCATGGTTCAACAAATATACTATTTTTATAGATGATATGATGATTTAATTATATTAGGTTTTGTTAAAGCCAGGTGCATCCAGAACGATGAAAAATTGTGATATATGTGAGAACGGGGGTCGTAACATTAATATTAATATTACCGGAATCGTTATGATATTCTTGAAGATAAAAAATGATTTTTATAACTATTTTTTAAAATAAAGTTTGCGCACTTTTAATAGGACATTACAGCATTATTATTACATAGATGTATGAATACAAGTGAGGATCTATCAACAACGTCTAAAACGATATTGATGGTTCCAAAAAATCATTCGATTTATGTTGACAGAGGCCTAACTAGAACCCATTAGAATACAAATCGAATGTAATTTGAACTATTAACATCAGATGAACTGCTCTCGAACACCAAAATTATAAATCCAAACGCTAAAAGAATCTAACTGTATTAATTTTTATTATACGTTGGTTAGGATTAACTTAAGTTGGATTTAAATTAATTGATTTTCTTGATTTTTTGATTAAGCTCTGTTGTGTTTGAACTGAAGATTGCTCATATTGTAACGTACGCATTTTATTGTGCTTATGCATATACTTCTATCACTGATTTTCTTCGCGAATTTTTTTTTATTTACCGGATTTTGTAAAATGGCATCACTCGTTAATAATTAATCACACGTTTCGGAGATGTTCCCGCGCGTCTTCCGGTGACAGCGAATGGTTCGGTACTGATTGTGAGAATCTTATTAGAATGTTACATGATTCTCACTTGTCCCTCACTCGCCTGCGAGTGATGGTTTAGGAAGAGGTCGCAGGTGCTAAAGCAGTGCTCGTCGAGGTTGTTGATTTTCATAATTTTTTGATTCATTTATATATTTAGTTATTTTTTTATAAGTTAATTTATTTATTTCTCAATACTTATAGGTATCCATTCATTCATGAATTTATTTAGTACTTTGCTTCTTCATTTAAATACAAATTTAGTTTCTTCAGAAGCCATTAACTTATTCATGTGGTATAGTGATGCATCACTTCGAATTATATATAATACCAGTAAAAATAAGCTACGAGGGCTAAATTTATATGACGATCGGACGATCCTAGGACTGTGGTGACTCAGTGGTTAGGGTCATAGGTCGTCGCCGCTGAATTCGAGGCCCCAGGTTTGATACCCAGCAGGGGATAGTCGTAAGCGTACGTAAAGCGTAAACGTAATAGAACAAGTAGGGTATTGTAATACAAGGTGGTGAAGCGTTGCGTAAGGTAGACCCAAGGGTGATTAAGGGTATATGTGGTAACATAATTGAAATAATGAATTCGATATTCTTTGATAACCAAATTCTGCAGTTGTATTATTGAAACATAAACTATATTGATATTTAAACCAGCACCAGAAATCAAATTTCTGAAGGCTATTTAATATTTTTAATTTATTTATAAATCGAATTGTACTATAAATTATACAAGTGGATACTTTTCCGGTTTCGCTTTGGAAATGTCTCGATGATTTATATATATATATATATATATATATATATATATATATCGTTAATTTGTTATTTGATATTCGATGCAGCCTTGACTTATGAATTCTATTCGCGTTGGTTTAGATGCCAGCAGATGATTGTATGCGTGCGAGTGCATTCACTTTTGCTTTTGAAATAAAACGATACATAAATATTAATCCTTAAATATAGATATTAATGTTACTATATATTCTCTTTGCTGTATATTACTCTTTATATACTTTTCAATGATGACACGCAATGGTATCCGAAACGTTCTGAATGTTTGTTTTTAACATGGCTCAGAAACAAATTAATTATAAAACATTAGCAAATTATTAACTTTCCGTAGGATGGGTTATAGTAACGGGCCGAAAATCGAAAATAAATTTTTACATATCTTCACGTTTCAGAGATTTCTGTGCATTATAAAAAATGAATGTGTGTGTATTTTGTATATCCGCATTTGTTCGTCAATGTTTTCGGGCGTACAGATTAACCGATGTGGATGGCTCACATTCGATTCTTATTGATAGGGAGATGTGCTGATTAGTTTCTAGCAAAGGCAGGTCGAGCAGTTAGGGAGATACAGAGCTAAATGTACAAAAAACTGCAGTTTTTGAAAGAACTAAGCATTCGATTTGAATGATTCAAAAAACTTTCTGCTTGTGTTGACAAAGCAATTGTTGTGGGGAAAAAATTATTACAATTTTTTTAAAAAAATTTTTTTGTATATCGGAAATAATTCAGATTTTAATTTTAATCCTGGCTAAAGTTCTAAAGCTCACTTATATACTTTTAATAAATAATTTTAACTTCAGGATTCAGTTTATTTAAATCTTCTAAAATATTAAACAATGTTACAGTATTTATAATAATCTATTTGAAAACATTTAATATTCCTCGAATATTTTGTTACGATACGGGAAGTTACAGCAATTTGTCTTAAGTCACGATGCGTGATATTTTGAGTCTATAACTATCCAACAAAAAAAACTTTGTAGTTTCTGCGAGTACATAAACTAAAAAGTTTTTTTGTTTACTTTAATTTTTACTGAGTAAAAACTGATATATAAAAAACAAACAAACATATATATATATATATATATATATATATATATTATTGCACTCATTAAAAAATAATTACCGTTTTCTTAATTACGGTTTCTCATTACAGCAATTGCGTCAATAATTCGAATAAAACACCACAGGTGCAACCTTGGCATCACTTTATCTGTTCTTCTCTAAACAACCATTGAACCAAGGTTCGATCGATTTCGAAATAATGGAACCCAGATCTCTATTCTTATTGTGAACACGACTCGATTATTTCGGAATCCTCAATTGGCAAGTCATTGTTCACAAAATGCGATTATGATTTTGAAATAATTGCCGGCGTGGGAATAGTGGATTTAGATGAGACAGGTTGAAAAAGATATTCGAGTTGTATTAGGTTTAAATTGACCACTTCAGCCACAAGTTGTGGCCCGCAACCCTAACTTTAATGATGAGTTTAAACACTTCAATATTATGTGCACTTTGTGTGATCTCTACATTCTAAAAGGCTGCTAAGAATTTTATAAATATTTCAACAATTATAACAAAACATACACGCATAAATAAATAATTAAAATGTATTAGCAATTAGCGTTCATCAAATCAAAGTGTAAACAAAGAAATATTTTGCCAGCAATTTGTATTTGTTATTATAAAATTTATTTATGCAAAAGATTATCATATTATGCGAAAAAAAGCAATAAAACATTTATCTTCATGTTTTCGGAATTAATTATTCGCTTGACAATAAAATTTGCACAAAATCAACAATTCGCGTTGACATTTTGGTGTTTTAGTAGTTCTGCATATTTTAGTTCAGTAAAACTTTTCCTTTGCAGCGGGTTTTATAATAATTATGCGGATTTATTTATAATTTTATGCGAAAAAGATTGAGGTTATGTAACGTTGCGAAATTAACATAATTGTATGGAAATAGTGTGATTCCGCGTTTTGAAGAATAATAACAGACAATGGTGAAAAATTTCATAATCTATACTATTTATAGTACATATGGTGTACTTATTTTCATTCATGATATAAATAGTTTCATCTTCTTTCTATAATAATTGTATAACACATCTTTTATTTAATATTATGACGTTGCTTTTATATATATATATTTATATATATGAAAACTTTTTATATATAAAAATCAGTGCGAAGTTGACGGGAAGAATCAGAGAATTTTATGAAAATATTGTTTTTCCAGATACGCTGATGTTTCTCTCTTATATGTCAAATGTCAAATATGTATTATATCTGATATATATATATATATATATATATATATATATATATATATTATTTCACCTGTCACATTTCCACTGTTGACTTCGTCATTTTCTGAGGATTTCGACATCAAACTTTTCTTTTCTCGATTGTCAAACATGAAACAAGTTCCGTATCCGAATTATCCGCGTATTGTTTCCTGTCTCCCGATATAACTTTGAATATTTTATTCTGGAAATCCGGAAAAATAATAATAATAGATAAATAAAAACTTTATCCCAGGTCTGTCAAAAGGAATGAAATTTTTTGGATTTATTGTTTGCTTTTGTAGGATGTGTCGTGTTTATAATGAGCACTGCAAGACGTACCGTATGTTCTACAGTGTTGCAATACTCATTTATTATTGTTTTAAGCGTCTATAATAAAAATAATAAAATGAAGGGTTCTCTCTCATAATTAAATTATAAATGATATTTGCTTAAGGTTTTCAAATTTTATATAATTTTATTTAATATATATATATATATATATATATATATATATATATATTAATTGTTTAATATGAACAAAACAGCACTCAGATTTGTTTAACACAACTTTATTTTATGATTACAGACGTTTCGAGACTATGGTGTGTCTCATCTTCAGTGTAATTTCAAAAACAGTTACTTATATACTACACATTCTTTAATAACTTATTTAAATTTCATTTAATTTTTGATATACAAAAAACACCATATAAAATTTTTATATTCCAAAATTAAAAATTAAAAAAACAACATATAAAATTTTTATATTCCAAAATTAAAGATGAAACTCCATTAACAAAAAAGAAAGATATAGTTTATAAAGTAAATTGTTTGGATTGTAATTGCTCTTATATTGGCCAGACCTGCCAGAACTTAGAAAAGAGACTCAGGCAACATGAATTACAATGTGAAAAAATAGATAACAAAAAATTTAAAAGTACACTTGTGGATCATACTAATATCAACAACCATAAGTTTGATTTTGACAATCCCCAAATTTTATTCCATGAGAAAGACTTATTTAAACGGAGCATGGCAGAATCAATGTTAATAGTTCGGACTAACAATAGCATAAATCTAAGAACCGACACAAATATTTTACATGACACTTATATAAACATCATTAATAATTTATAAAAATTTTTTCATTTATCTTATTCTTTTCAATAAATTAATTTGTTTTTTCATTTTTATCGATTTTTTGTATGCGATAGCACTCCTTTTGTTTACATTATAATGATATCCATTCTGTCTCCATCTAGATAAGTACTTCAAATTTGTTTAGAATATTTCTGTAAGTGTTATGTGTTTCTTTAGTACTGTGTCAAGCATTGCAAGGAATAGTTGGTGTTTTTTGTATATCAAAAATTAAATGAAATTTAAATAAGTTATTAAAGAATGTGTAGTATATAAGTAACTGTTTTTGAAATTACACTGAAGATGAGACACACCATAGTCTCGAAACGTCTGTAATCATAAAATAAAGTTGTGTTAAACAAATCTGAGTGCTGTTTTGTTCATATTAAACAATTAATATTCGTTCCACTCATATCATAAAATTCTATAATATATATATATATATATATATATATATATGTGTGTGTATGTATGTATGTATGTATGTATGTGTTTTTCTATAATAACTTTCTGAAATACGAAACTCGGACAATATAATCTAGATGAATTTTCCTTGGGCTTTTCTTTTCTTTCTTCGCAAACTTTCTTCATATAATTTCTTTTGAACTTGATAATAAATTTGCATATAGATTACCACAACACTCTTTATATTAAG